TACAATTGGCTAGGTACATAATGGCTCCAATTGCACTAAGGTATGGTACTTCAGGACCAAGTATCTCTTCATTATCCTCATGTGGTCGAAATGGGTCATTCTCACCTTAAGTGATCTAACGACCATAGGAGTACTTAAAGGAGTTTATTTATCCATATTAAAGCACACTCTTTTCATATATGTGGATTGATGCACAAATATACCCTTTTCAGAATGCTCAATTTGTAAGCCAAGACAATTCTTTGTCTGTCCGAAATCTTTCATCTCAAATTCTCCTTTTAGGTAATTTGATGTCTTTTGTATTTCCCCTTGAGTTCTGATAATATTCAGATCATCAACATATACCGCGATAATTACAAATCCGGATGTTGTTTTCTAGATGAAAACGCATGGGCATATAGGATTGTTCACATATCCTTCTTTTGTTAAATATTCACTGAGACGATTGTACCACATACATCCAGATTGTTTTAGCCCATACAATGATCTTTGTAATTTTATTGAACATAACTCTTTGGGTTTAGAATTTAATGCTGCGGGCATCTTAAATCCGTCTGGGATTCTCATATAGATATCTGTATCTAATGTTCCATATAAATATGCTGTAACGACATCCTTGAGACGCATTTCTAGATTTTTATCAGCAGCTAGACTCATCAGGAATCTAAATGTGATTGCGTCCATAACGGGAGAATATGTTTCCTCATAATCTATTCCAGGTCTTTGATAAAAACCTTGTGCTACAAGACGAGCTTTGTATCTCATAATCTCGTTTTTCTCATGTCGTTTCCGAACGAAAACCCATTTCTATCCAACCGGTCTCACATCTCCAGGTATGATTACAATTGGACCGAATACACTTCGTTTATTAAGAGAATCTAACTCAACTTGTATAGCATCTTTCCATTTCAGCCAGTCTTGCCTCTTTTGACATTCGTATACAGACCTTGGCTCTGGATCTTCATTTTCATCATCTATTTCCTTTGATACGAGGTATGAGAAAACGTCGTCAACATCATCTATTTCATTTTCTGTTCCATATCTTTCCATTATGGATGTAGTTTATGGAAATCTCATGATTTTTCTCAGGTTCACGAGGCTCTGGATTATCATTAGTTTCATGATTTGTTTCTTCCAAAATACTTTCGGCTATTTTGGGAGTAGTATGCATTTCAGCCTCCTTTCGTTTTCTAGGATTTTTGTTCTTAGAACCGACAGGTCTACCACGCTTCAAGCATGTTCTAGATTCACGTGTATCATCTGCTTTTCCACGTTCTTGTGGTATATCAATACGAGCAGGAGTATTTTCAGCTGGTATATGTGATTTAGTGACCGTCTTGGTATCTGCAAATGCATCAGGTAGCTGGTTTTGCTATACTCTGCAAATGCATAATTCGTCGAACTTCTAGTTCTGACTGCTTAGTGGGAGGATCAAGGTGTAACAGGGATGGTACACTCCATTTGATATCCTTTCCTACACCCTTATTTTCTCCCCCTAGAACCGCGAATACTTTCTCATCGAAGTGACAGTCGGCAAATCGTGCCGTAAAAACATCACCAGTCTGTGGTTCTAGGTATCGTATAATCGATGGAGAATCATATCCAATATATATATTCCCAACCGTCTTTGTGGTCCCATCTTTGTACGTTGCGGTGGCGCTATAGGCACGTA